ATCATAACATTATTAGTGATGTGCATTTTATAAATGTCATAGATAATACACTAACATTACTGTAATTTTTTTGTACATGGACACTACTTCTGTTTTTTGGTACTTTGTTAATATATACCTTACACTTTATACCTCAAAAAAAAAATTCATAAAACTTGAATTCCCAACGCAAAGAATCCAAGGTGGTGGTATAAATGAGATTAAACATACAAATCATATTCTAATTTTACATGTCAAGACTAATATGAAGATTAGAGGAACGAACCAAGTGAGAATGGAATGAAAATTGATCCAAAAGCAAGAGAACGAATAGAAATCCACATGCAGCTCTTACCTGCTGATACGCCAATATTGCATCAGCACTCTGGACACTGTTGGCTTGTGTTGCACCTAACTTGTTCCAAAGAGAATAATCATTTGGCTTCAGCTTTAAAGCTGTTTGGAAGGAAGCAATAGCTTTGTCATATTCCCTAGACAAATTGTAGAGGACACCAAGTACTATGTGCACATCAGCATCCTCAGGTGACATCTGAGCAGCTTCATTGAATAATCTAGCAATCTGCATGAAGAACAGATTTTTATCCACACCTTGAAGAATTAAAATTATCAGGAAAAAGATAATGACTGAATGAATAAAACAACTATCATGTGTCCCAAAGAAAAACCACAAATGTTCAATGTAAGAAATGTAGAAAATAAGGAAATAAATTCCTAATTAGTTAGGTGTATTTTTCCAGCTATTTTCGTTTTGTTTAAAATAAGTATATTAGTTATACATTTTCTGTTTTTTGCTGTAAACAGAGATAGTCACAAAGTTGGTGGAGAATAACCAATTTTGTTATTTCCTCCTACCCATAATTCTGTTAGGAGTTTGTTAGAATTTAGGCTGTATATAAACACACCTTTGGTGAATGGAAATGATAAGCAAAAGCATTATTTCCTCCATTAAATTTTTTACAGTATCAGAGCTTACCTGATCTAAAAGAAAATAGATATTTGCTGAGCCAACGTCTCCAATGGCCATAGGTAAGCTTCCGTCTTTTCCACCAGAGGTTTCCTCTGGTTCCTATCACCACACGACAACCACCAGAGCTATGAGTGAGATGTCATCATCCTGTATCACAGGACACAAACTCGACGGCAACAACTATCTTCAATGGTCGTCGTCTGTCCGCTTATTCATCTGCGGAAAAGGGCGTTATGGGCACCTCACTGACGAGCTCGTGCCTCCTCCAGCGTCCAACTCAAATGCACAAGTATGGGAGATTGAAGACAATATGGTCATGTCCTGACTTATCACCTCGATGACTCCTGAAATCGGAGAGAATTTCCTTCTCTATGAAACTGCCCACAAAATCTAGAAGGCAGCTCAAGAATTCTACTCCAGCAAGGAGAACACCTTGGCTATTTTCGAAATCGAATCGACACTCCATGACCTTCGACAAGGTGAGGTGAGTGTCACTCAATATTACAATCTCCTAATTCGTAATTGGCAGCAAATGGATGTCTTTGAGGACTGTCGTTGGAGCTGTCCCGATGACGCGAAAAGCTTCAAAGCTTTCGTTGAAGAGAAGTGAGTCTTCAAATTTTTGCTAGGGTTGAACAAAAATCTCAATGAGATTCGAGGAAGCGTACTGAGCACCAAGCCATTGCCGAGCCTTCAGGAAGCTTTTTCTGAGGTTCGACATGAGGAGAGCTGTCGGAAGGTCATGATGGGAGAGATTGACCAAACTCACCCGACTGAAAATACTTCAACAGTCACGACCCGAGCTGTTGACAATCGAACGAAGAAGACGAGGCCCTGGTGCAATCACTATCGGAAGCTAGGACACACTCGGGATCGTTGCTGGAAACTTCACGGCAAACCAAGCGACTGGAAACCATCTTCGGGTGAGTGGAAGACGTCGAAGGCAGAGAGCTCCAGCAAGCATCAAGGGAATCACGTTATTATTGAGGAAATGCCCCCTGATGCAGTGGAAAAAGACTCATTTACCTCTGAACAGTTGAAAGCCCTCCAACGTATTCTGTCCAAGAAATCTTACCCGGTCAGTGCCTCTGTGGCACACAGAGGCAATATTCTTGGCTTGTATGTTTTTTTGAAAAACAAAGGGCAGGTGTGGATAATAAACTCTGGAGCATCTGACCATATGAGTGGAGATGCCTCAATATTTCAAAATTACAGAAGATGTAAAGAAGATTTTTCAATCAGAATTGCAGATGGTTCTCTCTCAAAAGTTGCTAGAATGAGTTCCGTAAAATTGTCTTCAAATTTGACTCTCTGTTCAGTTCTCTATGTTCCAAATTTGGACTGTAATTTATTATCAGTCAGCAAGCTATGTAAAGATTTGAAATGTGGTGCAAAATTTGTTTATAATATGTGTAATTTTCAAGACTTGGACTCGGGGAGGACGATTGGCAGTGCTAGAATGAGCTCAGGATTATATTTGCTTCAAATCAATGCTTCTAAAGACAAGCTCACAATGCAGTATGTGCAAACTTTGTTTCTATTTAAATAATGATCATGATATTATGTTGTGGCACTATAAAGTAGGACATCCAAATTTCATGTACTTGAAAAAGATGTTCCCATTACTATTTAAAGAAAAAGATCCAGTTTTATTACATTGTAAAGTATGTCAATTTTTTAAACATACTCAAAGTTCATTTCCTAATTTACCATACAAACCCTCAAACATTAATTCACAGTGATGTATGGGGTACGTCCAGGGTTTCCAACATTTTCGGAACTAGATAGTTTGTATCTTTCACTGATGATCATACAAGAATCACCTGCGTATTTTTCATGAAAGAAAAATCTAAAGTGGGATCTCTATTTAAAAAATTTCATACAATGATTCAAATCCAATTTCATACTACCATTTAAGTGTTGAAATCCGACAATACTTGTGAATATTTTGAAATTACCCTTGAAAAATATTTTACTGAACATGGCATTATTCATCAAAACTCATGTGTCCATATTCCACAGCAAAATGGTATAACTGAAAGGAAAAATAAACATATCCTTGAGGTTGCCAGATCACTTATGTTCACCACCCATGTCCCAAAATTTCTTTGGGGAGAGGTTGTTCTTTCAGCTACCTATTTGATTAATTGGATACCCTCCCGTATTTTACAGTTTCAATCACCCTACACTATTCTCTCAAATGTCTTTCCTGATTCACACATCTTAAACACTTTGCCACTTACTTTGTTTGTTCAGCATATGTCCATGTTCATAAACATTTTCGTGGAAAATTAGACCCAAAAGCAATAAAGCGTATTTTTATTGGGTACTCTACTAATAAAAAAGATACAAATGTCTAGTTCCGGAATCTTACCGTTTTTATAATACAATGGACGTCACATTTTTTGAAAACCAACCATTTATCCTATTATTAATATTCAGGGGGAGACATTCATTCTAAAATATCAATTGTGGGATGTGAGTGTATCTCCTCTGTACTCACAAAATCCACCACCAGACAAACCTTCCTTGGAACTTGAACCCAAAACCTCACAAAAGAAACCTGAGCCAAAACCAGTTACAGAAAACACATTACCTGCAACGAGTGAGTTACGTGTCTATACGAGAAGAAACAAAGGAAAAGCACCAGAATCATCCAAGCACTACCATGAATCCACTCCTGATTCAGGTAATGTAATCTGTATACCAACTCTTGATTATGATATTCCTATTGCTTTGAGGAAGGGTACTCGGACATGCACCAAACATCCTATACAGGACTATGTTTCATTAGATAAATTGTCCTCGGAACATTATACTTTTGTGTGCAGGATAGCCAGCAGCTCATTAGAGCCCAGAACAATACATGAGGCTTTAGAAATTCCATAATGGAAGATAGATGTCCTAGATGAGAACAAGGCACTTGAAAAAAATAAGACATGGAAGCTAACTGATCTACCTCCAAGAAAGCGTCAAGTGGGGTGCAAATGGGTCTTTACAACCAAATATAACTCGAATGGGAGTGTGAATCGGTTTAAGGCCTGCCTGGTGGCCAAAGGTTATACTTAATCATATAGTATAAACTATCTGGAGATGTTTGTACTGGTTGTCGAGCACAATACTATTTAGGTACTTCTTTCACTTACATCTAATCTTAACTGGCCACTTTATCAACTAGATGTAAAAAATGCATTCCTTAATGGCGATTTGGAAGAATAAGTGTATATAAATATACCACCAGGGTTTGAACTAATAGACAATCCTCAGAAAGTGTATAAACTGAAAAAATCACTCTATGACCTAAAACAATCTCCAAGAGCGTGGTTTGATAAATTCACAAGAGCCGTAAAGTATGAAAAATATGAACAATGTCAATCCGATTATACACTGTTTGTTAAACACTGCATCTCAGGTAAGAAAGCTATTTTGATTGTATATGTTGATAATATCATTCTTACAGGAGATCACTTTGAGAAAATTCAGAAATTCAAAGTATTCCTGGCCAGAGAATTTGAAATAAAAGATTTTTGAATATTGAAACACTTCCTCAATATGGAAGTGGCTAGATCCAAAAAGGGGATCTCAGTATCTCAACGAAAGTACGTTCTGAATCTCCTAAAGGAGATTGGGATGCTAGGAAGTAAGCCCGTTAACACCCCGATGGATTCAGTTATTAAACTTGGATCCATAATCAGTGATAAAATAATTGACAAAGGAATATACCAGAGACTTGTTGGGAAACTTATCTACTTAGCACATACAAGACCATAGTATAGTAAGCCAGTTCATGAATCAGCCAACTGAAGATCACATGAGAGTCGTGTATCGAATTCTAAGGTATCTCAAGACGACTTCAAGACAAAAATTATTCTTTCAGAAGACAAAAAGAAAAGAGTTAAAATTTACACTGATGCAAATTGGGCAGGTTCTATAGATGACAAAAGATCTACATCAGGATATTGTACCTACATTTGGGGTAACCTGATTACTTGGATAAGCAAGAAACAGTCGGTTGTATCTCGCAGCAGTGCAGAATCTGAATGTAAGGCGCTTGCTCATGGTATTTGTGAAGGTGTATGGTTAAAGATGATACTTGAAGAATTAAGAGCCCTTAACAATATGCATCTAAAAGTATGGTGCGACAACCAATCAACTATCAATATGGCCAAAAACCCAGTACACCATGATAGAACTAAACATGTAGAGATCGACCACCATTTTATCAAAGAAAAATTAGAAGATGGAACTATTTCTCTGATGTATATTCCAACGAATCAACAGATTGCAGATATTCTAACAAAATCTCTACCTAAAATAAACTTTGATGACATAATATCCAATCTAAGTTTACTAAACATATATGTAAACTAAATTGAGGGGAAGTGTAGAAAATAAGGGAATAAATTCCAAATTACTTAGGCTTATTTTTCCAGCTATTTTCATTTTATTTAAAATAAGTATATTAGCTATACATTTTCTATTTTCTACTGTAAACAGAGGCAGTCACAAAGTTGGTGAAAAATAACCAATTTTGTTATTTCCTCCCCATAATTCTATTAGGAGTTTGTTAGAATTTAGGCTGTATATATACACACCTTTGGTGAATGGAAATGATAAGCAGAAGAATTATTTCCTCTATTAAATTCTTTAAGAAATAAAGTTCTTCCATATTGCAGGGGTAATAACAGCACTAGTCATTCTGGAGGGCAGTCGCCCGGAAGGCTGAATGATTCGTAGTTTGCTTAAGAAAACACATGCAAAAATAATTAGCACTT